GAAACGAAGAAGCTGATTGAGGAGGGCTTCATCACAAGGGAGTGGCGAGCCGAGCGGGGGGATAATGTCTACTCACTTGGGCATTGGGGCCGGATGCTTGAGGTGCTGAACGGTAAAAGACTTAGGGGAGACCGACGGCTACTCTGGGGACACGACCTACTCACTGCCGACTTTATGACGTGGGTAATATCTGGGGCAAGGCGGTCGGGTGGGAGGGCAGAGTGGCGAGGCGAGTATGAGGTTAATCTGGCTACTGACCTACGTCCCGATGCAAGCGGCATTATTCGTATCGGTGGGCGAGAGCTACGGTTCTGGCTGGAAGCGGACACGGGTAGCGAAGCGGAGAACGTGTTTGCTGAGAAGTATGGCAAGTATCACCGTTATTGCAAAGCTCACGCCGGAGCGGGAGCAGGAGCGGGAAGTGTGGTGCTGGTGGTGACGAAGGGGAGACAAGAACGGCTGGCGCGGATGATTGGCAGCGTCGGTGAGCGGCAGCGGGGGTTGGGTAGAAGCATTGAGTGGCTGTTCACCACCGAGGAGCTGATGATGCAAGTGGATAGCAGTGTAGGTGCTGGACCAGCGTTCGAGCGCATCTGGTACGACTTGCGGGCGATCGCGCGGCGCAGCGTTTGGCAATTGTAGCGGGAAGCAGGAGCAGGAAGCGGGAGCGGGAATCGCGCCCTATTGACCAGCGCGGGGATTTGCCGATATGATTCCTAAGTTAAACAAAACCCACCATTCACCATTCACCAGCATCCCCGCCCCAACCAAACCTTTCCACCATTCACCACTTACCACTATCATCCCAACCACTTTCACCTTTCACCAAACTACCAGCATCACCAACCATCTACCATTCACCAAACTACCAGCATCACCAACAATCTACCATTCACCATTCACCATTCACCATTCACCATTCACCACTCACCATTATCACCATCAGCATCACCAACCAAACCCATCGCCCACAACCCTGCTCCACCGCTGCCGCCCAACCTATACCTACACTATCAACGCGCTACATCCAAACCACAACCATTTAACAACAACCCTGCCTCACCACTGCCACCCAACCCCAAGCCAAGCGAAGTATCTTACCCGTACCATCCATAGAACTCCCCTGCGCCAATCCTGCCTCCCAACCACAACCCTAAGCTCAATCATCCAACCACTACCCTGCCACATCCCCACCACCCAACCTGAGATTAAAGCCGAACCCCAATCTTCACCAATGTGACCATCGCTGACCGTTTACCGCTTACCCGCTTAAGTCTTCCCGCTTCCCGCTCCCGCTCCTGCTCCCGAAGACCAAAGCTAGATAAGTTGTAAGCAAAAGCCAAAAGTCACACCGCACCTTAACAGCCCCACCTAACTAAGCTCACCCACTCGCGCCAGCAATACCTACCGGCACAGCCTCGCGGCGAGAGGATGAGCGTAGCTTTAGGACAATACGAATTAGAAGTAAAGGATACCAACCCAAATGGGCGTACTTCCTTACTTCACCTTGGCTGTGCCACATTTTCCACCTTTTCACCTCACCACTGTGGCACAAGGCTAGCATCATGCTGCCCGCCACAGGTAAAGAAAGGACAGTAGTTCCCATGCAACCCACCATCACCACCAAGATTGCCACCGCTGCACCCGCACCCGAACCAACGCCCCAGCCCCGCCGCAAGCTGCACCTCAAGTTCCAGTCCCCGCTTACGCCGACCGAGGAAGTCAGCCTTACCAGCCGCAACTACGACCCTACCAATCGTAACCAACTCGTCGAAGCGTTCCTGCCGCTCGTCAGCGAAATCGCCCACTACTATGCCAACTTCGGCAAAGACTACGAAGAGCTTGAGGCGGAGGGCAACCTTGCGCTCACTGAAGCGGCCACCAAGTTCGACTATCTCTCCTGTCGCCCCTTCCTCGACTACGCCGCCGACCGTGTGCGGAAGGCCATCTATCGGCTCTTCGGCTACGATGGCTCGTCAGCCCGCACCCCGGCAGCCGTCCGCACCGAACTCCGTAAGCTGGCGGAAGTAGAGAACGGCCTCTACCAAAAGCTGAGTCGGCGGCCAACCAACGCAGAAATCGCTCCCTACCTCGCCGCTACCGCCGCCTACGTTGGCGAGTTGCGGCTCTTGCAGCGCAAGCTGAACAGCCTCAACCAACCCGCGCAAGTGGGCAGCAAAGATAGCAGCGACCTTATCGAACTCGTCCCTGACAGCGGCTACCAATACCGCGACGAAGCGGAGGACACGGTTGACCGCGCCGAGGTGGACATCCTGCTCCAGCGGGATGTTCTCACTGAGGAAGAGCGGAAATGTCTCATCCACGCCTACGGTCTCAGTGGCAACCCCGACCTCACTTACCGCGAGGTGGGCAAGCTGATGGGCTTCTCGCATACCACGGTCGGCAACCGCGTCACATCAGCCATCCGCAAGCTCAGTCTCTTGCCGCGTCTGCGGCCCACGTGGATGAAGGGCAAGCTGAAGTACAGCGATGATGTGCAGCCGGTGGTGAAGTTGGACACCTGCGCCCAGTGCGGTAAGCACATAGCCGGCTGGGGCAACCAAACCTTCCGCGACTGGGGGCGGTATCGCCAGCCGGCAAAGGAAACCCCCGCCGGTACGGTGCCACACCTCACGGCCTGCTACCGCTGTTCGTTTAACAACACTTTCGTCGAACGCACCAACCAGAACCTTGCCGCAAGGCAGGCGATGTTGGCGCGGACGGAAGCAATCCGCATCAACGTGTGGGACTATCAACACAGCAAGCTGGTATCGCTGGCAACCTACGCTCCAGCCAAGCCTGCCAAGCCTGCCACTACCATCGAACACCAACCGCTACGCTGCTGCTACTGCCCCACCATCATCAGCACCGACACCCTCGGTGATGTGGTGGTGAAGGAAGTCAGCAGCTACGGTCATTACCAACTCGTCGGTTGCTGCAAGGCTTGCTACCAAAAGGTGGAGACCAAGTGGGAGCAGGCCAAGCGCGACAAGGCTTTGGTGCGGGAAACCGAACCCGAACCCAAAGTGGTTGCGGCGAAGCCGAAGCGCAAGCGCAAGCAGCAAGACCGCATCACCGAAATATCGCGGTATTGGCAGCGAGAGGCGAAGAAACTCGCCATCCCGCCCCAGCCACTGCCGAAAGCTCCCGCGCTCGACGATTGGAACTACGGCTGGCGCACCAATACCATCCTTGACCCGCTCGGTCAGAGCCTCGGCTACAGCAGTCCGACGCTTCGCCTCTCAAGGGCGCAGCTACGGCTGGAGCGCAGGCTTGAGGCCGAAGCCGTAACCGCCGAGTTGCCTTATGCCGTCCGCCGCGACCTAGCGGAGAAACGCCGGTTGGAAGCGGCCCGCGCCGAGCAGATGCAACTCTACCGAC